AGGAAAGTACAACACTTCTGGGTGGAACACAAGAGGAACGCCCTTGGAAAGCTGTGCCCTCTGTCTCCTCAGTAGTGCTGACACATGGCACTTCCTGATTGAGTTAATTTTGCTTTATTAAAATGCTTTCCTCTCTGCCCTACAAATACTTACATAAGCCATTACGTCACCATGCATCTTTTTTTTTTTTTACAATTAAGATCATATACCACAGTACCATTGCTGCCAAGAGAATCTGAAATTGAGCAATTTAGCCCTGTTTAAGTTCTTATGACATGATCAATAACTAACACTAAAAATTCAGCATCTTGTATTCAGCTTTGTATTTTATCTGAATCCCAAATAATCCCAGATCATGCCAGCTACCACTCAATTAAAAAATCTTAAGAAGAAAATATCTTTAGAGGTGATTCTTGTCTGTTCAGAAAATACAAGAACAGCAAGCCCAAGCGTGGCAATTCTGTGACTTTGAAAAATACTTGGTCTATATTGCATTTACAATACAAACATGTATTTTTCTGTTCCACAATACACGATGTGTATCTAAAATGTCCAGCATGCGAATATTTCCTAACAATTTACAACCTCCATTCTTTCCTGCCAAGTTCTAGCCTCGGTGAGCCAAATTACAAGTCAGTGAAAAACAACCTCTAGTACAAACCTGATCAGTCCTTTGCTCTGCCAATGTTGGTGAGTACCATAAAGAGACCTTTTCCCAGGAGAAACTCTGGAAGCATGCCCCTAGATCATCGTTTCTACACAATTTCATTAGGAATGGGCCTTTTGTGTGTCAGATAGGATTAATTTTTTTGTTTCTAAACTCCTTGTGCACAAAAGTTAATCCAAACCAGACAGGAGTCAATTAGGTTGTTAACGTGCTAAGCCTATTAACAGCCATGACTTACATTTCTTTCCCGCAACAATGAAAAACATTCAGGAGTCTGTCTTTAAGTGGCAAAGCCCATGAGCAATTTCATTATTTTATGACACGGCTACTTGAAGCGGTGGCTGTTTGCACTGTGCAGCAGTTGGGGGCTTTGCTTCCTTTTTAGCATAGCTAGCCTGTGGTCAACACAAAGAACCAGCACCCAAGGGATACAAATTCTCTTCCCAGCTGTTTTACATCCCCTGTGTGATCCTGGGGCAGGGCAGGGAATCACACAGTCCCAGATTTTCCTCACCTGCTGGAGAAAGGACTAAAACTATCCTGGTCTCACATAAGAGTCAGAGAAGCCCATGATTTCCCCAAATCCAGTCCTAGCTTAGCCACTTAATCAGCATCAAGTAGAAAAAAAAAAAACCAACAACCCAAAACAACACAGTCACAGCACAAGATCCATAGCCTTAAATAAATTTTACACCAGACTATCAATCTCCCTCTGCCTCAAAACTCAGATACACACTCAGCCCTTGTTGCCTGGCCATCCCCTTAGCATGAGCTAAGCAATGGCAGATGTGTGTGCATATGTGCACATATGTACTCTTAGCCCAACAAATATTAAGAACTTCAACAACTTTGCTTGCAGCAGGGAATTCTAGTTCCTCAGGCTGTCCGTGGATTAGGAACCTAACAGATATATAATTATTTTTGCTGACATAGAGTTCAGTGCAATCACATCGTGTCAGACCAAGGGTCCACCTAGCCCATGTCATGAGGTCCCTCAACCTTAGGACCTGCGTGTCAATCACTTCTGGGCCAACCTGAGAAGGACAAAACTTGCAAGGAGGATCTCAGCCACTGTGGGGTCTATTCACATTCCCTTTTGGACAAAGTAGAGAAGAGCAGCATGTACTGGGTCCCTAAAAGCCTTCAGGAAACAGTGGGTGCTCCTGGGAACACTTTTTTTTCCAGTGTTCCCTTTTAGTGTCTTTTTTTTTACAGCTCTGATACCCTGGTACTCACCTCCTCTTTCCATTTTTTATCCCATATAATTACCCAGTGTCTCCCTAATTCCTTAATTACCCAGTGTCTCCCCAGTTTCCTTTCCCGCTTCTCGGGGAGAAAATGTCAATTCTGCCAGGGACAGGCAGCAGTCTGCCCCTAGACAGAAGGTCAAAAGGTTCACTGGCAAAAGGATGAGGCAGATTTCCTGGACTAATTTTGGTTCAGTTCAACTTTTCACTAATGGTTGTCTTATTTCACAGTGTAAGACTTTTGTAATGCATTTTCTACAAACACAGTGTTGCAGCACCTACAGTACTTGGCTAGGAAATCAGAGTGGTGCTGAATTCTGATGTTTCCTCTAGAAAGAGACATAGGGGATCTGTAATTCTAACCAGAACCAAGACTTCATACTCAGAGAATCAAAAAAAAGATTGGCTCAGTCTGAACCCATGAGAATGATAAACCGGCTGAACTACTAAGAATTCAACTCCACACAAGAGAAAATAAAGTTCCTGGCTACAGGGTTTACCAACAAGCTAGGAGGCCACCTTATGAGCAAGCACAGGTCAGCTCCACTGGTACATAGGCTTGGTTAAAAACAAAAAACGAGAGATACAGGCAAACTTTAAATTCATGGCTGCCTATTCCAGTCAGTTCCTTCAGATCTCTGCTTTCTCCACTGTTCCCAGTAAGGAAGCCTTTTGCACCTCCAGCTGCTCCCATGTCCCTTTATGTCCAAAACCCACACTTGTTCTTGACCACTCAACTGTTCTCATACTAGTGGTTCTTACTCTTGTACTCATTAAACCTGACAGTCCTGCTTCCCATTTTGTCCCTTTGGCAGCCCAGTAGAAGACAGCATAGATGCCTTGACCCGTTGCCTCCATTCAGTATGCAGTCCATCCAGTAGAAGGCAGAAGTTGGAATATTGGTGGAGTAATGGGGCAGGAGAAGAATAAAAGGAACAGAATATACAGGAACACTGAAACCTAAAAAAGTTTCACAGAGTTCATAAAAAGTACTCCCTATGCAACCCACTCAGACAGATTTCCAGAAAGGATAGAATTCAATTGCTCCAAAGAAGCCAAAAACTAGACCAGTTTATACTAGCTGACAATCTGACTGTTAGTCTTAAAAAATAGGAGAAGACAGGATATGATCAGTGAATAAAGTTAGCAATTTTCTCTTGAAAAATTATAGGAAATAGTAATATCAACAGCTGTTTTATTATTAAAACCAAAAAAAAACCCCAACCTACCCAAATGAAAAGGGTGCAAGGCAGCTGCATCTTTTCAAGGTTTCAGCTGCTAAGCATCAGAACACCAGCAAAGTTTGCAGCAGCTCACAGGCACACACCCTTTAAGTGCAAAAATATAGTAAAGCCACAGACCTTCTGTGGTGCCTTGACTGGAAGAAGGTGAAAGACAGGAGAAAAATATTAGCAGGAGGACTGTCATCAAAGAACTAGATCTCCTTACTGTTAGTCTCCCACTCCAATGGAGACTCTAGAGCTTAAAATCAGATCCACAATCATCACTCCTGGGTTTTTTTGATTTAAAAAAGAACTTCTACATTGTCATGCTAGGTCACAGCTGAAGACTGACAATTTGGAACACACCACCAGCACCTCACATATCCACAGAGACCCACAGGATTTAAGCCACGATCCCAACATTGGCAAAGTGTGTCAGCATGACACTGGAAACTGAATCCAGAGCATTAGAGAATGTCTACTATTAACTGCCAGACACACAATTAAAATCTAAATCATTGCCATTTCTCAGGAAGCTGGTTCACCTCCCAACTCGTTATGCTACAGAAACCCCACTGAAACAATATACCTCACATTGCTAAACTATTTAAGCAGAAATTGCTCGAGACGACGTTGTTTCATCCAGAATAGCTTCACACACATGAGGCACATCTGCATTTCAGCTGCTACTGTACCCACAGCCAGCGTGGGATGGCAGACAAAAACTGCTGAAGAGCTCCACCACCTAACTCACACAGGATCCCTGCTGTCACAGCTGTAGCTCCTTCCACATCCAGTCTACCCAGATTACGGTTAGCCTAGGGATATCTGTATGAGTTGCTATCACATTTTGGACTCTCAGATTTCAAGCCTTGCTTCTCAGATCACCAAGGAAAGCTAAAGACCTTAAAAGTTTCTTTGCTATCTCTATGAGCTCATTCCTTCTCACAACAGGCAAAAGGGGGAAAAATAAAAAGTTTCATTTATCTCACAAAACCTTAAAGCAAACAATTTAAAAGTTGCCACTCCAAGAAACAAAAAGTCCTATAGCATGAGTGCTAGAGCTTCAGTTTGATGAGTCAAATACCACAAAGAAAAAGCAAAATCAAGTTCCTAGTTAAAAAAATTACCTTGCTCGACTATACCTGGCAGTTTCAAATGTGCATAAGCCTATACAAAAGCAATAAAAATGAAGTCTGCCCAGTTGACCGTGTACCCTGGTACACTCTGTTAGTGAGCTCTGCTAGACAGAAGTAAAAATGATGACATGTGAGAAGCTGAAAAGGAAAGCAGATTG